GACCCCTATAGTTATGCAGAAATGCTTTAGAACCCTACAAATACTTGATTCAGATTCATTTAGAATTTTGTTTTATCATTTAAAAAATTACAGTTAAATGTTTCACACGCCAAACATTCATATCCTGGAAACAATCAACATACTAAATTGTTCTTTCATTTTTACAGGCTTCAGTGTCTAGAGTTCCTGCCATAAATATTTTGCCCACGTTCACTGATGCAGAGTGTTGTAGCTCAGTGCTGGTCCTCATGATATTATTATCTTTTCTTATGCAGGTCTTCCCGTCTCTGTTCACATAAGATGGTACACACGAGTATCAGCTGCAGCTTTGCGAGGGCCTTCTGGAATGAAACGCCAGGTAAGAGGTACTTTTGCTCAGCACCGTGTGTGATCATGGTGCAATCCTTTGTCTTACAGTAACACTTGGCCAATAATTGTGTCACATTAGGCATCGTTTCAGCACCTGTTGTAAGATCTGAATGCTTTTCTCTTCCTCTTAAAGGCTAAGCTCCTTTGCAAGGGAAAGGCTCAGGGTTCATGCTAGATAACTGGTCAGAACCTGAACTCTAACTCTCTCACTTCGTTGCATCTGTCTTTGAACAACAAAGATGCACTTGGTCCCTGCAACTGGTCCCTAACTCCCTTCCTCAAGACTGGACGCTTGCCAGTTAAGGAATGACAGCAGGTCTGACGCGCCGCTACTGACTCCTCTCTGAAGGAGATTGTCTTTCCATCCCTCTGTTATATTTTGTGACCTGAAATCGTAGGGCGAACAAACTCGTATATTTGCAACCCCTCATTGGTGTGACTAGAATTCTCTCCATACTCTGCGGCTAAAACAAAATTTAAAAAGTAGGTTGAATGGGAGGCTAAGACTGCACCTGTCCTTGGGTTTCCTTGTTTCTGGGTTTTCTGTAGTCATTGAAACAACCTTCTTTAACATGGTGACATTTCATGTTACAAAACTAAACAGAAGGTACATTTATGGGCACGTCTGTCATATTTGATAGAATTCAGGCCCGTCCTTCCTGGTTTGGGCAATGACCTTAAGCGGTTTCTGCAACCAGTAGAGAGCAAATATTAGAAAAGCACTTAAGTGAGGAAGAGAAGTCGGTGGCTTGAACAAAGAAGGCTTGTTTCTCTCTCATAACAAGAAGTCAGGAGGTAGATGGTGCTGGCGATGGTTTGGCAGCTCAACATCAAGGCCAACATCTCTGCGATGTCTTGGCCTTTCTCCTCTGGGCACAGAAGACTAAGATCCAGGTCCAGCCAACACAGTCGCCCTCCAGACAGGAAAAGGCAAGGATGGTCCTGCCTCTTTTGTCCCTTCTATTAGGAAAGCGAAACATACACAGAAAACTCCTGCAGGCTCCTGCTTACGTCCCACTGGCCAGCCGACACCTCACTTGCAGCGCAGGGAGGCGGGGAACGGAGAAACGAGGTTAGGAATGGATGCTGAGTCTACATCGATATATGCACTATGTTGCTCGAAAAGAAACAGATTTCCAGGTTACCTTGCAAATGCTCCTTTCGGGAACCAAACAACACTGGCTTTGAGGAATTTAATAAGTAGGACATCCACGCAGCCATGCAAAAACCATTCCACAGTCATAATAACCGCTTTTTGTTATGTTTTCCCCAATTTTTAAAAAATTTATTGGGCTGCCATGGGTTAGTAAAAGTATATAGGTTTCAGGTGCGCAATTCTATAGCCCATCTATCTGTACATTGTATTGTATGTCCACCACCCCAAGTCAAGTCTCCTGCCATCACCATTTATTTGTTGTCTTTGTAAACAGGGTTTGGGGGGCACAGTTTGCTCAGGCCCAACCCAACGGTTATTTTGCTCTGTTTTAACATTGCAAGGGTCGAGGTATAAGACATGCGAGGCGGCTTCTCGGGCATGACATCTCCTGCTTCATTCTAAAGGGGCTCCGTTTGGCATTGTTTGCAAATTGATCTGAGTGTTTTCCGTAGCCTAATGCCAGATAATTGAAAGGATTATAAAAAGCTTCTTTTGGAGGTTGTTATATTGTGCTCACCATGAATTTTGCTTTGTTGTGCACTGCTGTGTGCAGAGGGTAGGCACTGGTTGCAAAAGGCATGTTCAGCAAAGAGCTCTGCCTTTTATACTGTGTTGTTTAACGCTGTGGGCATCGAGGACCCTCATGAATCTGCTCCAGCTGTGGACCCGCTCCCCAGAGAAAGGGCCCATCTGCGCTCGCATGCAAATCCTGCAAACAGTGTTAGGAGATTCACAGTATCCTTCCACTCACTCCAGGCACCAGGTTATAGCCTTGTGATTTGCTTGGTTGGTGCAGTGGCAAAAGATTTGCTGTGTGAGGAAAGAAGCAAAACAAAACAGCAACATCAGGACGTCTGATGGGCATCCGTTAGCTGTGTGGCTTCTCTGAATCTTCTTTAAGATCTCGCTTTTACCTCCAGAAAATGGAGCTGGTAGAATTGTCTCAAGGACCAAGTGGGTCATGTGTAAGATGGTTGTGAGTTACACAGCACTTTACAAATGTTGGGTTAAAAACTTAATTGCCCATACATCCAGAGAGCACGCTGGCTCTTACTTCCCAACTGAACTGACTGAATTCAAAATAGAGCCCCCATGAGGACGTGCCTCAAAGAGCGTCTTGAGGTTTCAAGGAGCAGAAGGTTCCTTCTCTGTAAGCAAATGTTGTTCTCAAACTCATGCATTGAGCCCCGCACCCCTTTTCAGCAGCGCGTTTGAAAAGGGGCACCAACAGAAACACCCTGTGCCCATTGCCAAGCACCACTCACAGTGGGTGGAGTCAGGACACGCCAACGTGGCTGTGAGACCAGGGACAGGGAGAGGATGGAAGGGTCTTCTAGAAGCTCCCTCCCCTGCCCATCACAGACCAGTGCCCACCCCTGGGACTCCCATTACGCTCATGTGGGCATCCTCTAGTCCAGTGGTTCTCAACCTTCCTAATGCCACGACTCTTAAATACAGATCCTAATGTTGTGGTGACCCCCAACCATAAAATTATCTTCGTTGCTACTTCATAACTGTAATTTTGCTACTGTTATGAATCGTAATGTAAATATCTGATATGCAGGATGTATTTTCATTGTTATAAATTGCGATGGTCTTAGGCGACCCCTGTGAAAGGGTCGTTCAACCCCCAAAGGGGTCTCGACCCACAGGTTGAGAACCGCTGCTCTAGTCTTTGCTGGATCCCCTCTGTGGATGCGCTCCAAGTCCCCCGTGCCCTTCCAGGCAGGAATGCTAACTCCAGGTCCCTGACCACATGCCTTTCTTCATCCCATACTCCTTCCCATCCTCCCTTCCTCTCCGCGTGTGACCCACCATCCTCTCCTGTTTCTCAGATTTTCATAATATTCTTTCTTTCCCACGCCCACCTGCCTTGGCAGCCACCCCTTCACCACTGAACCAGGGAGCCATCAGCAGAGTCACTGGGGTGGCAGCCGGTGGGAGGCCCAGGGTCCGGGCCCCACAGACCTGGCTGCTGTCTCCACAGGGTGTGTGGTCGGTGGCGGGTCAGGACTCTCCCAGCCCCAGCAGACAGCTGACCTGCGTGCGGAACTAGGAGATTCTGTTGGGTGACATAGAGCATCATGACGGTGCCCACACACCGATAATAAGACAACGCAGAGTCATCATCAGGGAGGCAAAAAGGAGAGAGAGAGAGAGAGTCTCAGATATGCCAGAGCCACATGATGCTGTTGGGAGTGCAGGGTCCCCTGGGGCTGGGAGCCCGTGTCCTCTGATGTGGGCTGGCCCCACGCTCCCTGCTGCTTCCGTCCCTCCCATCACAGGGCGGCTGACATCTGGGAGGTTCTGGGGACACGCAGACCAGCCAGACCTCGCAGGCACAGGGAGCAGGGCGCGGAGGATGGGCGCACTCCTGGCTCCAGGGTCCCCTCAGACAGCTGTTTTGGACACAAATGGCTCGTCCCCTCGGCAGGTCTACACTGGGCTTCCTTCATGGCGCCTCGTGAGGGAGGGAGAGGAAAGATCTGCCGAAAACAGGCATCCTTTCGCTCCTCATCGATTCCTTCCGGACTTAATGACCATTTCCCCTGGTGTAAGGTCACACGGATACAGAGGTTATCGTCTTAACAACCGGGTTCATCTTCCGAATCATTTTCACTGCACTGTGCAGGCCCGCAGGCCACCCAGTGGCCCTCTGCTCCTCTCCCTCCGGGTCTGCTTTTGCCCGAGACCTGGAATAAGCCGGCGGGTTGACTCACTAGGCTCTTCTGGCTTGAGCTTCCAAGGAGCTTCTGATCATTGGTTCGTTTGTCCATTTCTGTAGGTAGCTACAGGTTCTTTTCTTTCTTCCTTCCTTCCTTTCTTTCTTCCTTCCTTCCTTCCTTCCTTCCTTCCTTCCTTCCTTCCTTCCTTCCTTCCTTGTCCTTTTGGGGTTGTATGGAGCCTCCTGTCTTCCATCTCTTTTTCATCTGCTTCATTTGGGTGTGTTTTGACGTAATGTGTCGCAATAGCAAAAGCATGGCTGTAACTTTCACTTTATGATGCCCCTATTCAGGTTTCTAGTTCTTTATCCCCCGCCCCCCGAATTATGAGGTTGTTTTGGGGTTATTTATTTATTTATTTATTGTTCTTTTGGGGTTGTATGGAGCCTCCTCTCTTCCATCTCTTCTTCATCTGCCTCATTTGGGTGTGTTTTGATGTAATGTGTCGCAATAGCAAAAGCTTGGCTGTAACTTTCACTTTATGATGCCCCTATTCAGGTTTCTAGTTCTTTATCCCCCGCCCCCCGAATTATGAGGTTGTTTTGGGGTTCCTTGCAGTGGTTCTCAACCTTCCTAATGCCGTGACCCTTGAATACAGTTCCTCATGTTGTGGTGACCCCCAACCATAAAATTATTTTCGTGGCTACTTCATAACTGTAATTTTGCTACTGTTATGAATCATAATGTAAATATCTGATATGCTATATGTGTTTTCCAATGGTCGCGACCCACAGGTTGAGAACTGCTGCTTTAGTGACTATAGGAGACAGGGCACTGGCTGGGAAGTCACTATGCCCGCGTGAGCTCAGTCTGCCACTGCCACTTGCTAGTTAACGTCCCCTCAGATGGGCAGTAGGAATAAAAAACTCTCTCCGTTCTCTCTGAGAAGGATGTCTTGAGGATAAAGTGAGGTTATGGAAGAAAGAGATCCCTAAAACACAGTATAAAAATCATATTACTGTCCATGTAGTGAGTGGTACTCCGTGCTGGGCACCAGGCTAAGCTCTCTGTACACGCTTTCGTTGCATCCTCATGATGATGCATTAAGGGGTAGTATCATTCCCCCACTGTTGCTGGTGAGGAGCTGAAGCCCAGAGAGGGCCCCAGGTTACACAGCACGTAAAAAGGGAAGAACCAGGATTTGAACCACCTCTGACTGGCTCCAGACTGTGGGCTCTTAACCACTGCACCATCCTGACGCCCGCTGTAGCAAACGTCCCATCGTTCAGCTGGATGCTGGTGATGTCTATACAACTCCACGCCAAGAAATCAAGTGCTTGGGAGACCATGAAATTCCCAGTGTTCTTGGCGAGGGGTTATTCAATGCATGGTGGGCTGAAGAGAAATCCCTTTCCAACATTTTGCTCGAGTTTCCGGAATCAAAACTCACGCCGTTGACCAGGGGGGGCAGCACAGTGTTCAGGTAATTAGCATCTTTATCTGAAATTAAAGACACAAACTATGACTTCGGGCCAGTCTGTCTCTTGGGCTGTCTGTCTCTTGCTTAGACAAGAGAACCGTGAAGGTCTCTGTAAGTCACAATAATGGCGACAGCTAACATTTATGACGTGCGTACTCAGTGCCAGGACTTTTTCTGAGTACTCTATGTTCAATTTTATCTGACTCTCACTACAAGAGCTGGGTGCTACTGTTCTTTTCCCCTTTTCGTAGGTGAAGAAACTGAGGCACAAGGAAGTCTGCCCAAAGTCACACAGAGTAGGGGGGGAAAGCTGGGACTGCACACACTTAGCCATTCAGCTCCTTTCCTTTCTAACTTACAGGGATGATATTATTTGTCGCCTTGGATGGATGGGTAACCACACTTGGTCACTTCTGTATAGCCTACCCCGTTTTTTTTCCTGCTCTAAATAAAAAAATAGTCTATGTGTTTAAATACCCCTTCACACTGTTTAGGACATAGTGGTGTTCAGTAAATATTTGCTTACCTGGTTTTCTCATCATTAAAAAACATTGTGTGAAAAAGACATGGAAACAAACAAGAATAAATCAAGAAATAGAAAATAATGAGGCTGCAGAACTGGGAGAAATGATCTGACTCGGGCCTCCTAACATGAACTATCTCATCAGAGAATAATCCAAAGATAAAGCACACTGTGAACCCCTACAGTGCTTATCTCGATGAAACAACAGCCAAGGAAAAGGAAATCGAATCATCCCGGTGGCAGAGACTTGATTATTGACTTTGGCAATGCTTTCTCCACCTCCTTGTGCCAATAAAGTTATTAGAATCGAATTGAGAGAGGCAGACGCACAAGAAGAGCTGAGACAAGATGCTGAGCAGTTGAAATCAATGACTCTTGGAGTTGATCCCCTGCCAAAGGCTATACCAGCTCCCATTCTGACCAGCAGCCCAGCGCTGCAAGCCAGGTTTCTGGAGGGGACGCCCAGGTGGCTGGGGACGGACAGCTGTGGGAAGGAGGCAAAGGGCGCCCTTCCCATTACCAAGGGCCAGAGAGGCCAGCACCCACCAGGGTGGAGAACAGTGAGACGTCGCTAGTCTCACCATCCTCCCCAGACTGTGGAAGGGGAAGAGGAGGCAGAGACGGAGGATGGGAGAGAACACAGTGTTTTTCACAATCTGTTTGTGACAGGAAGAAAGAGTGGCTTAATAACCCAGAGCCAGATTAATGGAATATTCCTCTCTCCCCTGGCAGAGCTGGTTCTTTGGTGCCATTGCTCGTAAAATGGATGGCCGACGGAGGAGCCATGGAGCTGATTAACAGATCTGCCCCCAAGTTGCCAAACAAAACCCATTCCACCAGAACCGGAGAGCTGGAAAGTGTTTAGACACCAGTTTAACGAGGGAACCACTAGCATTCTCTGGAAGCCACCAACCACTTAATCTCTTCTAGCTACTTCCTCCCTCTCAGTCAGCTATCTTCCCACCCTCTTCTATGTGGGCCCCAAGCATCTTCCTTCCATTCATTTTCTCCATCATCCACCCTCCAACCATCGAGCATCAAAGCCACCATTTAAAGTTTGTGCCCAATTCTCTGAGAATGAGTGCACCTTTGTAAGTCTTTGTGAAGATCCTAGCAATGGTATGTGCTTCTGATTAGTTGAGATGTGTGTATGTTTGCTTCTCTGTGTACAAGTTTTCTAAAATGATGATAATAATAATAGGTAACGAGTGGCAGGCATTCTTTTGAGCACTTAGAGTTCTTAGTGAATCTGTGTAGGTCAAGAGAGACATAGGAACACTGGGAATACTGACAAAGGAGGTTCTCCAAAAATCCTACATTGCAGCACAAAGTCCACAGCTCCACCCACTTGCCCAGAGTTTTGAATCAGCTTAAGAATTTCCAATCAGATTAATTGTCCCACACTCTTATTCATGACCAGATATCCCAGTACTAGCAAGCATCTGAGAAGAGCTGATAATGTGGGTAATTAACACCAAACAAATAAACAAACAAAAATAATAGTAGTGTGGGGGGGACTGAGAACATGCAAAGAGAGAATTAAAGTGTATGGATATTTTAACGGAGATAAGAAAATATACTACATCATTCTCAGAGAATTGGGCACAAACTTTAAATGGTGGTTGGAGGGCGCTTGATGGTTGGAGGGTGGATGATGGAGAAAATGAATGGAAGGAAGATGCTTGGGGCCCACATAGAAGAGGGTGGGAAGATAGCTGACTGAGAGGGAGGAAGTAGCTAGAAGAGATTAAGTGGTTGGTGGCTTCCAGAGAATGCTAGTGGTTTCCTCGTTAAACAAAAAAGGAACATTCAGTGGCCAAAATAGAATTCTTCTTGCAAATTAGAAATAGCAGAATTGAAAAACCCAATAGTAAATTTCCCAGAAAGTACAGCAAAACATCAAAGAGATAGAGGAATTGGAGAAACAAGAAAGAAAAATTAGGAAACTAGTCTAAGAATTTTAATATCTAAATAATAGAAGTTCCAGAGAGAAAACATAAAAGAGAATCACAAATGAAATTTGTCCCCCAAGTTTCCCAGAAATAAAAGACAAAAGTTGCCAGCTTTAAAGAATACATCAACTACCCAACATAATGAATAAAAATAGATTCAAATTAAGGCACCTCACTGAAATTTTTCAAAAAGTGGGGGAAATAGTCTACAAGATTTCCAGAGAAAGAAAAAGTTATATACAAAGAATCAAAAATAAGAATGGCTTTGTGCTTCTCAATAGCATCCCTGGAAACAAAAAGAAAATGGGGCAATGTATTCAAAATTCTGAATGGAAATGATCTCCAACCTAGAGTTCTATACCCAGCACAATTATCAAACAAGTGCAAAGGTAGAATAAAGACATTTTCAGATGTGCAAAGTCTCAAAGATGTATTTCCCATGCAACCTTTCCCAAAACATGGAAATACAGCACAAAAGTTTCAACATAGGAGACAAGTAAAGGGTATTTCCAAGGTGAAGAAAGATCCCAGACACCATCGATGGAGGACAGCAGCCCAGGTTGGTACAGCACCAGTCAAGAGATAGTCATGTTGGACATGCCCAGAGAAAGTCTACTGACTCCTCAACCCATGGGCAGAATGCTCAGGTAAGCTTGGCCCCCCCCAAAAAAACACCTCATCATGTGCTATTCTCCACTTTTTGCCTGCTGTTTAGATCAGCTTCCTTTCACTCCCACAAAAGTACTCTGCTGTGACCTAGTCCTAAGAGTGAAGTAGACAAATGAAGTGGTTCATTCTAAGATGAATTTAGAAGCAGAATATCCAAAGCAGTCCACTCCCACTTTCCCTGATGATTTTCCTGGTGGAAGGCCACAGAAACCGGTGTGCTCAAGAGCAGTAAAGGGATCTGGATGGAAAATGGGATGGAAACGCTGCTACAGGAACCAGCCATATCTGCTAAGCCTACAGTTGGCACGGAATTCTTCAGCAGCTTGACGTGTGAATAGGAATTCAGCTGTTCAGTGTTCACATCCCAGTCTCTGCTGAGTTTTGTTTAGTTAAGGATGCTCTGTGCTTGGATTCTAGGGTCACACTCACATGCTCACCCAAAGCAGGTCCTTTGTGCTGGTGTGGTGGGTGCAGAGCGAGGCTCTGTCCTCGGCTGCTCACTGTGCCAGACTCAGCACTCCCATCTGGGCCTCGCACGGGATTCAATGCGTTTCTCCTGGGGGTCTTTGCGTCCTTTCCTACCAACCAACATCATTCAGAATCCTCAGGAGTCAGAAAGCTTATAAACATGCAGGGTCCAGGACTCCTAGGTTCTGAGAGGCTCCTTGACTGAAAGCAGTTTGGCCCAATTTCTCCCTAGAGCAGGGGTGGGCAAACTTTTTGACTCGAGGGCCACAATGGGTTCTTAAACTGAACCGGAGGGCCGGAACAAAAGCATGGATGGAGTGTTTGTGTGAACTAATATAAATTCAAAGTAAACATCATTACATAAAAGGGTACGGGCTTTTTTTTTTTTAGTTTTATTCATTTCAAACAGGCCGG